CAATTCCCGGATTGAATTTCCAATTGTGTAACTGTCACCGAGGTTTGACAGGTAAAGATGCCAAATAAAATTAAACAGTTTCTGTCTGTAACTAGTTATAAATCGGCACGCGTTGTGAAAAACATAAAACGTTGCTGAAAAAGGGCGTTGAACACGGGTTGGTTGTTTGAACAATTATTGTTGATTTCGATACATATGAATTATCTATTGTTTCTTTTATGAGTGGTGATGCATACATAAATTATGTAAAGACCACAACCAGACTTTCAAAAATGTTAATTATTTCGTTCATATTCTCAAAAAATGGATATCAAAAGCTGATGACATTTTAGACGATGGAAATAAATGTACACGTTGATCTATTGGTTTAATGCCTCCCGGTAGAAATATTAACAAAACCTGGTTGATGACAAAAAGGATCTTCAGAAAACATCCGCATTTTTACTTTTGGTGCCTGTGGCAAAAACTGAAATAAAAAGTCATGAAGCACCGACAAAGAGTTTAATGCAATGGACATCAGTTCCAAGATTTTCCGGTTATTTTTCATCCTTCCGGAAATAACCGATGAAGGCCGATGGAGTGTTACGTGTTTGTGACGTCATAGTAAGATAATCTCCGGACGATGTTTCCTTGCTGCTAGTATCATAATTTATGTGATAGATTTTTTCACTCAGAATGTATGTTAGTTTTTGTCTACATGCTTTCACTATATGAAGATGTTCATGCATGGGTTGAAACACAATTGTCTTTGCTTCAAGGATACACTTCCGGTTTCCCCACTGGACGTCTACTTCTGGACGAACAAAATTGAAGGCAATTTGTAACAAGGGGAAGCAACTCTTAAAGAGTTTCGCTTGGGCGCCTTACGCTCTTATTAAGTCTATATAAAAATCTATTTACATGTCGAACATTACGCTGGCTCTCCTGCCGTTATAAAATGTTATGGTATACGTTTTTTCAAGTAGGAATGGTTAGATAAAATATAACGGTACCATGTTTATGTAATTTTTGTCCATACAAACAACATAATTAGATAAACCCGACGTCCTCAAATAACTACTCCTACAGGTTAGTTATATACATATGTACGGAACATTTTTACATAGCTGTTATCAACATGATTGTGATCAAAACATGGCTGTAGCCTACACTATATGGAATTGGTGTCTTTGTACATGGCTAAGGTAATACCAAAATCTTACAGGTTATCCGTCCATCTGATATAGGGACTGAAATTATTTTATATGATATAGGCACACGTTATGTTAAAATATAAAATAAAGGCTTGTTGCACTGATGCCTCTTGGATGATTGTGTGAAGTTACACGGTCGCCACGCTTATTGATGTTACCATGACGAGTGACAACACAAAGGATATACAATGACGAGTGACATCACAGAGGATATACAATGACGAGTGACCTCACAGAGGATATACGACGCCGAGTGACATCACAGAGGATATACAACGACCAGTGACCTCACAGAGGATATACAATGACGAGTGACATCACAGAGGATGTACAATGACGAATGACAACACAGAGGATATACAATCACGAGTGACCTCACAGAGGATATACAATGACGAGTGACATCACAGAGGATATACAATGACGAGAGACCTCACAGAGGATATACAATGACGAATGACAACACAAAGGATATACAATCACGAGTGACCTCACAGAGGATATACAATGACGAGTGACATCACAGAGGATGTACAATGACGAATGACAACACAGAGGATATACAATGACGATTGACAACACAGAGGATATACAATGACGAGTGACAGCACAGAGGATATACAATGACGAGTGACCTCGCAGAGGATATACAATGACGAGTGACAACACAGAGGATATACAAGGACGAGTGACAACACAGTGGATATACAATGACGAATGACAACACAGAGGATATAGAATGACGAGTGACATCACAGAGGATATACAATGAAGAGTGACAACACAGAGGATATACAATGACGAATGACAACACAAAGGATATACAATGACGAGTGATAACACAGGGGATATACAATGACGAGTGACCGCACCGAGGATATACAATGACGAGTGAAAACACAGAGGATATACAATGCCGATTGACAACACATAGGATATACAATGACGAGTGACAACAGAGAGGATATACAATGACGAGTGACATCACAGAGGATATACAAAGGCGAATGACAACACAGAGGATATACAATGACGAGCGACAACACAGTGGATATACAATGACGAGTGACAACACAGAGGATATACAACGACGAGTGACCTCACAGAGGATATACAATGACGAATGACAACACAGCGGATATACAATGACGAGTGATAACACAGGGGATATACAATGACGAGTGACATCACAGAGGATACACAATGACGAATGACAACACAGAGGATATACAATGACGAGTGATAACGCAGGGGATATACAATGACGAGTGACATCACCGAGGATATACAATGACGAGTGAAAACACAGAGGATATACAATGCCGATTGACAACACATAGGATATACAATGACGAGTGACAACAGAGAGGATATACAATGACGAGTGACATCACAGAGGATATACATGACGAATGACAACACAGAGGATATTCAATGACCAGTGACCTCACAGAGGATATACAATGACGAGTGACATCCCAGAGGATATACAATGACGAATGACAACACAGAGGAAATACAATGACGAGTGACATCACAGAGGATATACAACGACGAGTGACCTCACAGAGGATATACAATGACGAATGACAACACAAAGGATATACAATCACGAGTGACCTCACAGAGGATATACAATGACGAATGACAACACAGAGGATATACAATGACGAGTGATAACACAGGGGATATACAATGACGAGTGACATCACCGAGGATATACAATGACGAGTGAAAACACAGAGGATATACAATGACGATTGACAACACATAGGATATACAATGACGAGTGACAACAGAGAGGATATACAATGACGAGTGACAACACAGAGGATATAAAATGACGTGTGAAATCACAGAGGATATACAATGACGAGTGACATCTACAATGACGATTGACAACACATAGGATATACAATGACGAGTGACAACAGAGAGGATATACAATGACGAGTGACATCACAGAGGATATACAATGACAAGTGACAACACAGACAATGACGAGTGACATCACAGAGGATATACAATAACAAGTGACAACACAGAGGATATACAATGACGAGTGATATCACAGAGGATATACAATGACTGACAACACAGAGGATATAAAATGACGAGTGACATCACAGAGGATATACAATGACAAGTGACAACACAGAGGATATACAATGACGAGAGACCTCACAGAGGATATACAATGAAGAGTGACAACACAGTGGATATAAATTGACGAGTGACAACACAGAGGATATACGATGACGAGTGACAACACAGAGGATATACAATGACAAGTGACAACACAGAGGATATACAATGACGAGTGACATCACAGAGGATATACAATGACAAGTGACAACACAGAGGATATACAATGACGAGTGATATCACAGAGGATATACAATGACGAGTGACAACACAGTGGATATAAATTGACGAGTGACAACACAGAGGATATACAATGACGAGTGACCTCACAGAGGATATACAATGACGAGTGACAACACAGAGGATATACAATGACGAGTGACAACACAGAGGATATACAATGACGATTGACAACACATAGGATATACAATGACGAGTAACAACAGAGAGGATATACAATGACGAGTGACAACACAGAGGATATACAATGACGAGTGACAACACAGAGGATATACAATGACGAGTGACATCACAGAGGATATACAATGACCAGTGAGATCACAGAGGATATACAATGACGAGTGACAACACAGAGGATATACAACGACGAGTGACAACACAGAGGATATACAATGACGATTGACAACACATAGGATATACAATGACGAGTAACAACAGAGAGGATATACAATGACGAGTGACAACACAGAGGATACACAATGACGAGTGACAACACAGAGGATATACAACGACGAGTGACAACACAGAGGATATACAATGACGAGTGATATCACAGAGGATATACAATGACGAGTGACATCACACAGCATATACGACGATGAGTGACAACACAGAGGATATACAATGACGAGTGAAAACACAGAGGATATACAATGACGAGTGACAACACAGAGGATATACAATGACGAGTGACAACACCGAGCCTATACGATGTCGAGTGACAACACAGAGGATATACAATGACGAGTGACATCACAGAGCATATACGACGATGAGTGACAACACAGAGGATATACAATGACGAGTGACAACACCGAGCATATACAATGACGAGTGACAACACAGAGGATATACAATGACAAATGACAACACATAGGATATACAATGAAGAGTGACAACACAGAGGATATACAATGACGAGTGACAACACAGAGGATATACAATGACGAGTGATATCACAGAGGATATACAATGACGAGTGACATCACAGAGGATAAACAATGACGAGTGACAACACAGAGGATATACGATGACGAGTGACAACACAGAGGATATAAAATGACGGGTGAAATCACAGAGGATATACAATGACGAGTGACATCACAGAGGATATACAATGACGAGTGACCACACAGAGGATATACGATGACGAGTGACAACACAGAGGATATACGATGACAAGTGACAACACAGAGGGTATACAATGACGAGTGACAACACAGAGGGTATACAATGACGAGTGACAACACAGAGGATAAACAATGACGATTGACATCACAGAGCATATACAATGAGAATGTGACGTTATTAATATAACAATCGGTATAATCAAAATCCATGCCGAAAACCCATTACTCGTGACATCCATACCATTACACGTGGCATCCGTGTCATTACACGTGACATCCGTACCATTACTCGTTACATCCGTACCATTACTCGTGACATCCGTACCATTACACGTGACATCCGTACCATTACACGTGACATCCGTACCATTACACGTGACATCCATACCATTACACGTGGCATCCGTACCATTACTCGTGACATCCATACCATTACACGTGGCATCCGTATCATTACACGTGACATCCGTACCATTACACGTGACATCCGTACCATTACACCTGACATCCGTACCATTACACGTGGCATCATACCATTACACGTGGTATCCGTACCATTACACGTGGCATCCGTACCATTACACGTGGCATTCGTACCCTTACACGTGGCATCCGTACCATTCCACGCGACATCCGTACCATTACTCGTGGCAGTCGTACCATTACACGTAACATCCATACCATTACACGTGACATCCGTACCGTTACACCTGACATCCGTACCATTACACGTGGTATCCGTACGATTACACGTGGCATCCGTACCATTCCACGTGACATCGGTACCATTACACTTGACATCCGTACCATTACACGTGACATTCGTACCATTACACGTGACATCCGTACCGTTACACCTGACATCCGTACCATTGCACGTGACATCGGTACCATTACACGTGACATCCGTACCATTACACGTGGCATCCGTACCATTACACGCGACATCCGTACCATTACTCGTGGCATTCGTACCATTACACGTAACATCCATACCATTACACGTGACATCCGTACCATTACACGTGACATCCGTACCATTACACGTGACATCCGTACCATTACACGTGACATCCGTACCATTACACGTGGCATCCGTACCATTACTCGTCGCATTTGTACCATTACACGTGGCATCCGTACCATTACACATGACATCCGTACCATTACACGTGACATCCGTACCATTACTCGTGACATCCGTACCATTACACGTGGCATCCCTACCATTACACGTGGCATCCGTACCATTACTCGTGGCATTCGTACCATTACACGTGACATCCGTACCATTACACGTGACATCCGTACCATTACACGTGACATCCGTACCATTACACGTGACATCCGTATCATTACACGTGACATCCGTACCATTACTCGTGGCATCCGTACCATTACACGTGACATCCGTACCATTACACATGACATCCGTACCATTACACGTGACACCCGTACCATTACACGTGACATCCGTACCATTACACGTGACATCCGTACCATTACACGGTACATCCGTACCATTACACGTGGCATCCGTACCATTACTCGTAGCCTCCGTACCATTACACGTGGCATCCGTACCATTACACGTGGCATCCCTACCATTACACGTGGCATCCGTACCATTACATGTGGCATCCGTACCATTACTCTTGGCATCCGTACCATTACCCGTGACATCCGTACCATTACACGTGCCATCCGTACCATTACCCGTGGCCTCCGTACCATTACACGTGGCATCCGTACCATTCCACGTGGCATCCGTCCCATTACTCGTAGCCTCCGTACCATTACACGTGGCATCCGTACCATTACCCGTAGCCTCCGTTCCATTACACGTGGCATCCGTACCATTACACGTGGCATCCGTACCATTACACGTGACATCCGTACCATTACACGTGACATCCATACCATTACACGTGACCTCGCACTGTTACAAATGACTTCTGTACTACAATGAAAAATGAAATCCGCATTTTATACGTCACATCCGTATTAAAACACGTGTCATGCTTTTTATTTATCACGAGGTGTTTGTTTGTTTGTTTGTTTGTTTTGGGTCTAACGTCCCCGCAACGACCAACGTTATATGAGGACAGATTTATCAAAAGTCTTTTCAATAAGAACATAAGTTTGCCATCATTTAGATATATTTTATTGTGACGTCATCCTTAGGCGTTTCACATTGACGTCATATTCGCCGACGTCAAGGTCGTCTGGCATCGAATTATATTTACATGATTGGTAGGCCAATATTGTGTATCGTTATAATGAGAACAAATATGTAAGTGAGAGTGAGTGTCTAAGTATAGAACACAACCACGGGAATTGCCCGCTAATTGTGACGTCATAATGTTGCCCCCCCC